CTAGCTGCAAAGTATGCTTGGACAATGGATCAAAAGGATGTTATTAGAGAATTGTTCCATCCCAAATTGCCTGAAGAACTTTTCATGCAACTTTCAAGTGAACTAACCTGGTTATTGAAATAAACACTGTATGGTCTCAAACAATTTAGTTGAACTGCTAGTTTCGGCGTTGAAAGATTCAGGAGTCAATCAGTCATCCAGAGTCCCATGTATATATAAGCAGAAGACAATTGGAAAAATTTCTAAAGAAAAAAGAGAGAAATTGGAATTGAAAAGGACTCATAAAATAAAGGACCCCGCACGGTTCTTATGGAAAATGGGTCTCAGTCGAATTGGCTCAAAATTTGGTCAAGTGTAGTTCATGTTTTCCTGATCAAATGTCTCAATGGGCACAATGAGATCTAAAATGGACAGATTTTTTAAAACAGGGGGTTAAACATGCGGAAGCAGGTTGATACTAACCCTTAGAAAATCGGTAATGTGGTGATCACTTTGTTACAAAGAGTCAAGGATAACAATTATTATCTTGATATTGTTGACACGAAATTAAATAAAGAGTTATCAGACTCTGTATACGGGGATATTCGTTTTCTAGGTAGGTACTATATATAGCCGCCAATGTTGATTTTTATTTAATTCTTTGACCAAACTCAGTCAAACACAGAAGCTTGGAGTATAAGTATATAAATATAATTCATTTTCAATATTGGGTGATCTGAGGTTATACAGGGTGACTCAAAATTATTTCTTTTTGTTGTGATAATTTCAATCTTAGGAAAATTTATGAAAATTGAACTAAAAGTAGGAAACTAAATATAATGTGATCAATATTTTGCAGCTCTTGCATTTTTGTTGCAGTCAGTCACGATTCAGTACATATTATATTTTTTGTTGAGGCTTGCATTCATCAAAAAGCACACGACATTGGCGTTATGTGGAACACTTTCAAGCATCAGATTTACAAATTTCTTCTTCATTAGGCATTTATATATGCGTATTAACATCCATATTCTTCTTCTCTCCAGGTAAATTCTCCTCATATTTTTTTCATATATTCTTGTAAGAATGACAAGATGTCCTATCTCATGGTCGGTTGATGTAACGTAATCCAATAACCTAAGGAAAGGTTCCAAAATATATCATTGTCTAACTCTAACTGAATGAAGTGCACATCATTCAGTCCTTCTCGGAACATACCGTGTGAATCACGAATTATTAGACATATTTTGGGCATTCGCACCATTATGTACAGCATTTACTCTTGGGCCAATATAGTCGTTCTTATTTTGTTTTTCCAAGCTTTTTAGCTGATTTGGAAGTTTCAATCCTAGCATTTAACTTCAAAAGTTTGTTTAAGATAATTGACAAAATTCGTGATGGTAATATAATGATAACATGGTTCCAGGAAAATTATATTGTAGTAGTGGATGGGGGTACCGTGATGCTGCTGGAATACTACATAAAATCAATATTCAAGTTTCGACAACAAAATATTCAGGTCCAACATCTTTCCCATCTTGGGGATCTTTATCGGATAGCTGGAGTGATTATAACACGTATCATCCTCCTATCCTCATGGAAGGAGCCGATGTACAATTTTTACAAAGATTACTCAAAAAGGCTAGAGAACCAAATTTCGTTCAAGCACTAGTTGAGCTAGAGATTCTGAATACTAGATAGAAATACTCAGAGGTGGGTACGTTTAGATGCCAAACAGTGTCAAGATTTTTTAATAATTCTGACGCATGATATAATGAGAACGCTTACTTCTGGAATTTATCAAGTAAAGTTAGCACCTTCTCATGTCCAAGACAAATTACATAAGGATCACTGCGGAGAATTTCAGTTTGAAACTTTGAGGGATACCAACAGACTACCATGTCCAGGGCTTTTAAGGGTTAGAATATTCTCTCGTTTTAAGAATGCACCAAAATATCAAACTGTGGATTTCATACCGAAAAACAAATAAGAAGGAATGATTGACAAAAGATGATTATTACTGCACCTGTGAATCTGGTGCTCGAACTGTCGGTACCTGCGCACATATTGCTAGTGTAATATGGATTTTGGGGTACGCACTTCATCAACCAAACATTCGCTTCTCCTCAACTCAATTGTAGACTCTGTTCAAGACGCAGCGAACAGACCACAGCCACAAAATATTGTTAATCAGTTTTTCAATTTATATTCACGTACGTTGCAAGTCTACCTGATTTTGTACAAACAATTACTCACATCGCCCGTAAAAAGAGAACCACACTATGTGAATATCCTATTACGTTTCGACATCAGTCTATCAATGGCATTAGCTTTGAATGCCCCTGACCGCATTGCTTTGAGATGAAATCAGTGACAGCTAGTGTCTACTAATGGCCGCGTTGAAGTTTTACAGTTTCACTGTTTTCTCAGTCATTTAAAATTCTCATACAGCATTTCCATTTTCCACGTATGTATATCCCAGATGCTGTACAACATCAGAAGTGAATGAAATATTTGAGAAAATATTCTCCCTAATGGGCAGTTCGTTGTGTCAACGTTGAATGTGTCTAACGTGTTTCAAAAACGTATAAATAACAATTCTCTCAACGTACCACTAGGTAATATTACGTTATTTTCCAACTAAATGGGAAAAAACACGATATTTCCCGCGTCATTTCAATCGACCATAAACCTTTGGTAGGTACCTACCTTACAAGTTTCATCGTTATTTCAACGTATGTGTGCCCACTGTCTTTCTGAGTTGACGCAAAGCGACACTGGATGATGAAAGTGAGCCTCTGAAACTGGCCCTATAAAAAGCTACTGTGACACTTTGAGATGAGACCACGTACCTATTGCCTGTATTAAGGTTTACTGTTTTTCCTCAATGATCCCGAGCTTTCACATAAAAAATCCATGTATGTAGGTTACCATATGATATTTTAGCTTCACGTAATAATATCACAGCCATATTACTCATTTTATGAAGTTATGCAAGGTGGAGAAGAAGAAAATGCTCTAGATAATTATTAATGCCGTGTAAATCTACTGCTTGAAATATCAAATCTTGCTACTGTCTAGTCGTATGATTTTTCAGATTCGCAGCCCATCACCCAAACATTGTGTGTACGGGCTATCCCCTAACCGAATTATAGTATCCATACAAGATGCAACGAACAATTTTTATGAGTGACCCTGTATAATAGTCACCTCAGATCACTCAATATTGGAATTAAATGGTATTTACTTAGTCTGCAAGCTTCTGCGTGTGACTGAGTTTGTTCAAAGAATTATATGAAAATCACCATCGGCGGCTATAGTACCTACCTAACTAGAAAACGAATGAGAACTTTCTATCACAACTCGTGTCGAAAATATTAAGTCTATCTTTGTTATCCTTGACTCTTTGTGATAAAGTAATCGCCACATAACTGATCCACTAAAGGTAAGTAACAACCCTGCCTCTGCATGTTTAACCCCCTGTATTTGAAAAACTGTCCATTTGATCCCGTTGTGCCCATGGAGACATTTGATCAGGACAGGACATCCTGAACTACATTTCACTGAATTTTGAGCCGATTCGACTGGGACCCATTTTCCATAAGAACCGTTCGGGACCCTTTGAAATGAAGGATTTGTGTGAAGAACATAATCATCTAGGAATCAGAATAAAAAAAGATGTCAACAAGAAATGTATAGTTACATTGGACCAAGATATACTCTCAAAATTGGGTATGTCAGAGTGTCATGGTGCTAGTAGTCCTTCGAATAGTAATCAGAGATTAACAAGCAGAGTGAAAATAAATAACCCAAGATCCTTAACAGGATGCAATAGGCTGCTTGCTGTATGCAGCACAAGGTACTAGGCCAGATAGAGCGTATGCCGTTTTCAAACTACCCCGATTCGAAATCGAAATCTCATAAGAGGTCACTGGCAGTAATTCGAGAAAGGTCTTTGTCATCTTTCAATATCTCCCCAATTGAAATTATCCTACAAGCAATCTATTCGACAACTCTAGTGAACTGTATTCTAAAATTGTTTACGTTTGATATGATCGATGAAAGGTAACGAAGTTTTAGCTCTTGAAGAAAGACATCATAAAATTGAATTTCCTTGAACAGCTGTTTTTACTTGAGGCACACTAGCTTAACCTCTGTGACGCAGTGAGCAAGGAAGCTGGAAGACAATAGGAAGGTAGGTATCCATAGTGTTGCCTGCTTGACACACAATTCATCAAATATTATGAAACTGAAAATCTGAAGTTGCTCTGTTGAGCTTTCTCGAGTCAGATTGGGCTGGCGATATTGATCTACTGCTAGATGGTTTCATTTCATGCAGTGGTCATCACGGACAGGCAACAGTCTAGCGTTGAGTGCAGTGACCCAATGAACAATTTTCTTGGTTGAACTCTTGGAAGGTAACATCCCAAAGAGATGTCACGAAATGATCATTTATTGTGACAATAGTAGGTCAATCGATAGATCGACTTCAGGTTTCAGACCTAAGACCATACATAAAGATTCACGATATCATTTCGTGAGAGACACAAAACAGAGTGATGGAGATAGTTTCCTATAATATTAGTACGCACCATACGTTTGCTCACTCTTCGACAAAAAGACCAAGTATGTGGAGAAAAATAAAAACAGAGTACAAGGAAGAAATTGTCAAAAATAGGGTGATTTGATATTCATTTAAATTTTGAAGGGTTCGAACTTATTGGACGGTCACGTCTCAATTTCTGAGTCATGAACGAATCTTCTTTCATAGTAGTTTGAACATAAATCAATGGAGTTAGTATGTAATAGAACAAATGACTATGAATCACGGTACGAAATACTATTTTTGACACGCTTGTTATCTCGATTCTTGAAGCATTTCGGGTATTTATACAGAGGCCCTTGAAAATATGTCTTCTTCAAATTGGCATCAACATTCGTGATAGGGTTTCCAAATAAGGATACACAATATCGATATTCTCCAAACCATCGAAATATCAACATAAATTTATTTTCCGTAGGACACCTCTTCTTGTTTTCTTCGCTACCATCATCGTTTTGCTCTATGCGCAATATTACTTGTCAAGAAGACATCTTTATGCCGCTGCCGCGAAGATCAAAGGACCCAGAGGATTACCGCTGATAGGAAATGCGCATTTATTCGTCGGCAAAACAGCAGGTGAGATGAAGTATAATAAATACAATACAAGGTGGAGGTTTGTTCCCAATTTTCGACAGCATGTCGATAAAATACTGCTATTGAAAATTCGAATACAGCAACGTTCTAACAGAGAAGTTTGGGAAAAGTATATGTTCCTAACGGTTCTTCGCTAGGCAATCAAAACCATTATTCAACTTCGACCTCTTTGAACAGTGTGGACACACTTGTCATATTGTTAAACAGCTCAACGAAGTACATGAAACACAAATATTTATTATGAGAGATGGAATGTCATAGGCGTGCCACAAGATCCTTTTATACAATATGGATTGTCATAATCATATGCTTTTGTTATTATATCTGTGAGAAAACCAGCTATGTGTTCAGTTGGAGCTTCAATTGACGGCACTGACTGAGAAGGTGGGTTTATGGATGTTGGGTAATTTGTGAAATTTTGGGGAAATGCCATTAAATGTTGTGAGATGGAGCTACGAAAAAGAAACTTGTTATGCTCAGTGTTGTTGAAACTGAAGTACATCATGCACTGTGTGTGAAATTTTGGATAATGCCATTATATGTTGTGAGATGAGGCTACGAAAAAGAAACTTGTTATGCTCAGTGTTGTTGAAGCTTAAGTACACCATGCACTACATCCTAGTACTATTAACCTATGATTATTTCTTGAGCAGACGTGAGGAAGAAGAAGATAACCTCAAAATTTACTAGATTCTCAATGTCCTAATTTGTGATGAAATTATTCTTGATTGATGTGAAAAATTATTTGATAACCGTGTTTCGTCGTTTACAAGAATTTTGAATGAAGTTTCGACTTTCAAATTGTATCAACATCATTGTAATGATCCTCGAATAGTGTAAGTACTATTTGAGCATTCCTCAATATCATTGTCAATGCACACATAATATCAAAATCTTTTTGCAGTCTCCCTGAAGATGGACATATAGATTTCCGAATGCTCGGAGAAACTGTAATGAGTTTATTACCTCCATTTTGCTGCAATATCCACTAGCACACTAGCAAGCTAGTTACATATATATATATATATATATATATATTTATTGATTTATTTCTTCTTATTATCACTTATCAACCTCTGTATGTGGTATGATGTATGTGTCCATTATCTAAATTTGTTAGTACATGTGTACTACTCTGCCTGTTTTTTTTCATGTACTTATCCTCTTTTTTCATTAGAAGTCACACACGAGTGGTATAGCATCTTCTAGTTGTTATACACACTTCAGTGACCTGTGTTTATTCGCAATATCACTGTATGAAAATATCATGAATACAATTTGAATTTGGAATCGAATAAATAAATTATCATCATTATTATTATCATCTTTAATTGATTGTTTTGATCAGTTATCAGTAAGTGGTCAATTATGAGATTTTACTTCATATACTCAGTTAAAATAATCCAAGTTGTCTCCACAACGTTCGATATCATCAAATTATAAATGGAAGAATATGTTTCGGATCTATAAAGTGTCCTTCATCAGTCAATAGAAATAATCCTTCAGAAAACAAAGGAACATCAATAATAATGATGAAATGTGAGCTCATTCACCACTAAGATATTAAAAGAACAACAATAGTAATATATACATTATATGAAAAAAAAAAAGAAATACACAGAATATCGATAAGTAATGGTATTACTGATCTTCGAATATAAATAGTGAAATTCACACAAGGCGAACGAACTCCACGAACCCACAAAAGCGAACATAGAAATTATTGATCAACATTGTCTATTGACACTTTGTATTTTTTATCGCTTGAAGCGCTTGGAAGGAAATCTCTATAATGTTTGAAGAACATCGTGCGTACTCAAGGAGGATAGGGAGAGGAAGTAGGTATTGGATATTTTCGAAAACTTTTGGAGGTAATAAGTTCTGGGAATCACTTCCTTGGGCAATGAATTCGAGGTGAGCAACGAAATAATGTTCTGACTGGGCTTGTCGAGTTCATCTGCATAAAAGGCTGTTACTGAGAATAGTGACATTCATGGGTTCTAAAATAAATATTGTTTATATATCTCAGAAACTGTACAATTGGCAAAGTCGTAAAATTTGAGAGTGCTGGTCCATCTAATATACATAACCCAAATTTTGTTATTGTATCTGTCAGAGATATCAGTACATCTCCATACTTCACGCGCGTACTCTGTATTATTTGTCAGTTACATTAGCATCATTCATCATTACGAATTCTTTTTATCTTTCAGTTTTTGAAAAAATAAATGAATGTTCACAGATTTCTTCCAAAAACTGAATTCCATCTTCAGTCATGTGGATAAAGAACCTTACAAACTATGGTTGGGACCATATTTGCTGATTTCTCTCAAGAATCCAGTACATCTAGAGGTAAATATTTATTTATCATTCTCTATAATTATGAAAATGAACATATTTTTTCCAGAAAATAATGTCTTCTTCCAAATTTGCACAGAAGCATGAGCTTTATGTATTCTTGGAAAGTTTTGTTGGAGAAGGACTCATCAGCTCCTCAGGTATTTCATGTCATAATGATTTTGATAGTTTTCTAGTTCTCATGTTACGAGAATTCTACGAGAAAAATGCTTAACCTTTCTACATAATTCTTCATGATTATCGAAAGAAGAATCTTCTTTATTCGAAATTCCGTGTACCTACATCAATATGAGTTGAAAAACTGTTTCGAGAGCATTATAATGATTTGTAATTCATACCAGAGTTGCAGTTTTTTGTACCAATCTTTTTCAATAGCGAATTGTATAATATGTTGATAGCTCATTGTTACTTCCTTTGGGTGATACAACAATGATATCATCAACGTATTTTTTGAAGAAATATCATACATATTATGAGCTGCTAGAATAGGCGAAATTGACGCTCCCACAGTGTTGCCAGAAGTTTGTTCGTAGAATTTATTGGCAAATAATGAATAAGTGTTATCGAAAATTTATTGATTTGTCATAGAGCTGTCCTTTGCATTGCAAAATTCACTGATACGTTCTCAATTATTTGGAATTGCTGGACATAACTGAAAAGTAAGACCACATTCAAAATTGCAAGGACCAAGGCTAGGACATAGCTATTGACATTTGTTTTGTTATTGAATTGTAAAGTTACGTTACTAAGAAAAATTATGCAATATAGTATCAATCTTCGATGTATCAATTGTCCATGTCAGTTCAAATATCAGTGTATACAGAATCTGAAAGCTTGGTGAAGGCTCCAATGAATGCCACTATCGGTCTTACTGATAAAATTGGCTTATGTATTTCGGGTACTTTATAGAATTTTGGTGTTGTAGCATATTATTTCCCTTTTTTTACCTTCATCATATGGGTTTATTATGAAGTAACACTCGGTATATAATGATGATGTGAGATGCTCAATGGATTAGGTAACAGTAGGTATTACCGCACTTCAGACCGACCAAGATGGCGGCGCCTAGGGAAGGCGGAGTCTTAGGTGGGGAAGGGGGAATGGGGTGGGGCTTCAAAGGGGTGGGACTTTGAGAGGGGGAATTGTGGGCGAGGTCTAGCAAGGGCGGAGTTATAGAGGGGTTGGTGGGGCGGTGCTCGGACCGGATTGAACGTTTGCGGGGCCATTATTCTGGCATTGAAATGATTGGTTGTGGGGTGGTAATGAAACATGGTGCCATCTTGGATGCTATTACAGGTTTACGATGATGGGGTGTGATATTGGGTACCTGTTTACTCCATCATCCTGTGGGTGTGGTTTGCAGTGTAGGTATACCAACATAATTGGAGAAGGTGTCTGAACTCTTACGGTGCGACTGCCATGGAGTTGGGGGTGTCGGTGGTGACTAATGGTTGAAGGCATCTGGATGATTGCACGTTCGGGATGTTTGGGGAGGACGTATACTTGAGGTAGGAAGTTGATTTATCGCGTGTCTGTACCTATTTTACAGCTGTGTATCGAAAATGGTTTGATGTTAAAAGGTGGAGCCACATCCTAATCATAATAATATATATTAGGGACATAGATTGGCAAGGCCCCCTCATTTTTGTGTGTAAACCATATTGGTTATGTTTTCTTATTGAAAAAAAAATGAAAGATTTTTTCGGAGAGTGATCACTCACCTGTGTTGTAGTCGTCAATTCAACATAAGCAGTAACAGCAAGGTGAGTATTCCACTTGGCGGCGGCGGCTGTGGTGCACTGTAGTTAGCTAGGTATACATACATCTGATTCTAAAATCACACTTTTTGGTGTTCAGGCGTCTGGCATTGCTTCTCTCTGCTAGATACGTCTGTTTCATCAACAGCAGCACAATCAGCATATTTTTCTCGCATGTGTATGTCACTGTCACTATGTCAATTACCTTCATTCATCACCTTTCCACACACCTTCCTCCCTCGCACTCTTCCTACCTCCCTCCTACCCTATTTTCTCTCAACCAACCTCCCTCCCACCCTTCCTCACGAACAATGAGGACAAAACATCTGCATCTATCTATATCGGAAACAAAGTAATGTACAACACTCACCTAATTTTTTCGGCATACTCTTACAGAGACGTGTCAATTAAATTCAGACCTGCGTAAACAATACATATACCAAAGTGGAAGAAATCAAAAACAACAATGAAAATTCCAAAAATATCACTGCACATAACGACGTAACCTTGTCGACCGACTGACGTAGACTGGCCTAATCAACTCGGCTACATCGGATTTGAGCAGTTTAGGAATGGAATGCTCGCACACTCCTTAGGGACAAGTCGAACATTCACGAGAGACATAAACACATACACGATGATGATGTCTCTTATCTGCCGATCCTTCCACCTCTTTCGCCACTCCTCTGCCACATGCCACTCCTACTACCTGCAACTCCTGCCACCTGCCTTTTCCTGCTACCTGCTACTCCTGTCATGTATTCGTTCTGCTGCCTGACACCTGCTTCCCCACTCCTGCTCTGCCACTCCTACCATCTGCCACTCCTGCTACCTGCCACTCCTGCCATCTACCTGTCCTGCTGCGTGACACCTGCTTTTCCCAATTCCTGCTCTGTCACTCCTGCAACCTGCAACTTCTGCATCCTGCCACTCCTGCCACCTGCAACTCCTGCATCCTGCCACTCCTGCAACCTGCCACTCCTGCATCCTGCCAATCCTGCCACCTGCAACTCCTGACACCTACTTCTCCTGCTGCATGTCAAGTTTGCTACCTCCGATTCCTGTTACCACCTTTCCATGCTACCTGGCACTCCTCTCACCTATCTCTTCTGCAATCTGCGATTTCTGATGGCTGCTGTTCCTCCTAATTGCCATCTTTGTTACCTATCACTACAGTTACCTATCATTTCCTGGCATCTATCATTTGAGTCATCATACTTTTCTATCACATGTCATTCACATCACCTGTTGATTGATCACTTCTACCTCATTGTTCCTTCTGCCTACCACCCCGTATATTATAAATCTTCCTGCAACCTATATATTATTCCTGCTGTCCTTCGTTAATTGCTGTGCTAACAATCTAGCATACTTGTTTCCTGCACTCCTAGTCTCTCGTGTTACTTCTATGCTCCATTCCATATCACGCCAAATTTATGTATATTGAATATTTCTTATTTATCTCTTGAAGCCTACAAAAATGAATTCCTATTAAATTCGAAGAGCATCGTACCTGAGGAGGATATGGAGAGGAGGTATGTGTTTCAAATCTTCACCGTTCTATAAACGAACGTGTTTTGATAAATTGTTGTTCGACATATTTCAAGGTTGACAAAATAAGAATGTGCTGACTAGTCCTGTCGAGTTTGTCTGACTGGTATTGCTAGTGATGGAATTTTAGAAAAATAAAAAGTCGTCTGCTTTTCCACGGTGTACTGATGAGGTCGATGGATAAGTGAGTGTGGCATCATCCACAGGGCAAATGACTCTTCTCTGGATGGAATCTGAGAGCATCAACGTATGTTTGGGTGTTGACCCCCATATCATGGGAGAGCAATATTCTTAAATTGACCGTATCTGTGCTTTGTAGATTATGAAAAACTGTTGAGGTGTGAAGTAAATTTTCGCACAAAATAAGAATTTGCGTTAGTATGATGCAGTTTTCACGATGGATCGGATTTGATTTTTCTCTATGAGAGAGCTAATGGAAATGCCGAGCATAGATATATAGAGGTCCTCGTAGGAATGATGGTACAAGACATTGTTATATCAGGCAAACTGAGTTAAGCTTTTCTAGAAAATACCAATTCAAGCTATTAATTGGTAATCAAGATGAAAGTTATCAGATAATGAGAAAAATAAACTGAGAGTCAATTATTGATTTACGGCTTCAAGATCCTCTCGATAAACCTATGTGCAATATGTAGATGATGAATGATATACATTCGTAATAGACAAATATAATGATAATCATCTTTACTGTCCACATACAAACATTATTGTATATATATTAATTTTTTTATGACTATTTTGTTTACCTATATAAAAGAAATATTTTATCACCCTGTGTTGAATTCAACCCATATTTTTATGCAAGAATGCCATGAACGATAGGAGAATGATGCGAAATTGATTGTTATTCAGACTTGTATTATTTAGAGTTAAAATACTCTGACAAACTCACTCTGATAGTCAAATTGACTCTAAATTTGAACTCCCAGAAAATTCTCTCGTTTTTAAATTATACTAGATTTTATTTCCACTCATCCCGTTTTTATAAAATAGATAAGCTATACTTAGTCCACTATGAGCTGAGATATTTTTCAAATATCGAAATAAAATTTCAAGGGTTGTTGAAATTGACACTAGCGTTATTGGATTATTCAGTATCGGAATTTCATTATATATTATGGAATTATATACCAAACTAAAGAGTTATCTCGTGAACTCAATAAAGTTAAGTGGTCATCCTGGGAACACGTTTAGTTTTCATTTCCACTTTATTTGTTCACTGTGTAGTTAACCACTATGTATAGATTTACTCCTCATCGCCTTGAAATGGAAAATTTCATTAACCATGAGAAATCTATATACACTACTTATAATTTAATTATATGTCACAAATATATTGAATCATGGTTCGAATTCAATCCCAACTTATAATATTAAGGCAACGCTTTCAATCCGAATTTTTTTTCATGATGATGCAATAGTGTGACGAGGTAACTACCTATCTCAAATTCATGACAATTTCTTCCATACTCGGAGTGAGTTATACGGTATATTTCACAGGGTTTTCTATTGAAATTAATCAATAATTTAAATTATTCAATAAGTCACATTCATCAATATGTTGGATAGATTTTCATTCACATAATTACAAACCTATAATTCAAAAGGAAGTTTCGAGAGCAAGTTGTATGAAATTCAATTATTATAGTAATGGTTGAGTCAATAATACAAAATAAGCAGTTGTATAAAAAAACTACCTCGAAGTACATCATCATCATAAATTTCATAAAAGGGTTTCAGAGTGGAAAATTTTTTCGAACTAACTGTTTGGTTTGTTTTTACAACTGACCTTGAAAATCAGAAAATGATTA